ACAAGAACCCTTGCTTTCTCCAGTAACAAGAGTACAGATAAAAGCATGCTGGTCACCTGAGTATATCATTCCAGTACAGTGTGTGAGTATAATTGACTCAGGTTAAACCATTTATACATGTGTCATTACTGCTTCCTTATTCTTCTGTGCTGACATTGTAGTGTAGAAGGACTTTGAGACTTCTGTCCCTGATTTAAGAGGAAAAAGACATCTCTCTGATGGAATAGTAACAGATGTCCTTGAGAGTGGTTTCCAGGTAGCGGTGGAAAATGGAGTAAGCTTTGTATTATGGTTGGTTGTGAGGGATTCTAGACAATACCTAGAACTTAATAAATTCCTAAAATTCATAATTTGTAAAAGAAATAGTTATTGCTAATGAAGTTCTTTTCTCAGCATTATGCTCATTTTTCAAAAGAAAAAAAAAAAACAACATGATCAGATAATACAGGATGCAGTCTTGACTGTCTCCATGTTTCCTACCAGAAAATTAAGATTCGTAAATACAAAGTAAGGTAAGTAATTGGCATAACTGAGCACAAACCCAGACCTTTGTCTTTTAACCCTTCCTTCCCTATTTTGGGATAAGCTTATATATGCCAAATGTTTTACATGAATTCAGTAGATAATAATGGGGTTGCTCTTTTAAAGATCAGAAAATTGTGACTTGCTCAGGGTCACAGTTGGTTGTTTAGAAGAGCTGCATATATCTTCCTATACTGTTTTATACTGCCTTATTCACTCTTTTCCTTGGTTAATGGCTTGTGCAGAATCTATGCCTATGATTCTTGTAGAAACTGAAGGTCATATTTGGCCAAAAGAAGTTATGTTATGAGATTATTTACTTCTATTAATTCTTTGCTTTTTTTCACATCAAACCACAATAATTATTAGTTGCCTAAATTAATAATAATCGAACATGAATGTTACAAACTGCAATTAGCATTGTGTTATAATGCATCAGCAATGTTAGAGTGCTCAGCAACAGTGGAGGGAGAGCTGACTCAACTTGACCCTAGCTGCTTGCTCCAATGGCCTCCTGCAGCATCTGCTCAAATTTGCCACCATGAAGTAGAGCACACTTAACAGACTTTGGCTTTGTAATGGCAAATGTGAAAACTATTTCAGCTACCTAGAGGATGACAGAGTTTTAGAAAGCTTGAGGGCTGTTACTCTCCTATCTGGGCTATATCTTCAATGACCATTTGTGACAACATGGCCATCTTCCATTCCTTTTTGTTCCTACCCTAGAATGTGTATCAAGGATTGAACATATAGATGGAAATTTTGATGACAAGACCCAGGAGAAGAGCCAGCAATGAAAAAACTAGGGATAGGTTCTCTAGACTTGACTGAATTGCAGATGTACCTAGTCTTGTACCCTAACAGTTTTTCTGGCCCAGGTGATGCCCCATTTCCTAAGACCCCAACAGACACTCCAGTTGTTTTCTACATTAGGCTATTGGTTGTTATCAGGGATATTTACTCAGAAGTAAAAATCAGCCTTTGTTAATAGTTGCAAATAACTTGGGAAGTGATTCAACCTATTTTTTTTTTTTTCATTTGAAAAAAGAAGGTGGTGTTGGTATCTGTTTCAGAAAAGGGCAAGTAGAATTATAAGGTATTTTGGATGTAAAGTTTTATTCAGATAGCAATATAGTAAATATAATAATGACAAACTCTAGCTCATGGAAGAGTGGAAAAAACTAATGAGGTTTAATTTATAACTCTCATAATTCTTCATAAGTAATTGGATGTAATGTCTTATACATTTTGTAATAAATTATTTACTTTGTATTTGTGCTCACTTGGGGAAGTACTGTCTTTTGCTGTTTCATTAAAACAAGTATTGAATTTTAAAAATTATTAGATAATAAAATAATTATTTTATTTTATTTAATAGATCACAACCTAGGCATGCCAATAATAGAATTCCTAGGATGTTATATTACTTCTGAGCTATTTATCTTAAATAATATTGAGTACTTGTATAGTTTTTCTCAAAATTCCATGTATTTCAAAAAAATAATCTCAGCTGGCTCAGCATGGGAGAATAGAATAACAAAGGACATAAACACCACTATAAAATTTAGAAAAGGAGGAAATTCCTGGGGGGTGTGGTATCTGAGCTCACAAATGGGTGGGGGTTTATTAGCTATTCATATGTATTTTAAGTGTAATACCTGCTCAAATCTTCATTTCTCTCGTTGTGCTGTTCATCTTTTTATTTTTGAGTTGTGATTTTTCTTTTTATATTTTGGACACAAAGCATTTAACAAGCATATTATTTGCAAATATTTTCTCCCAGCCTGTTGTCATTTATTGTTTAATTTTCTTAGGAGTTTCTTTTGAAGCTCAAAAGGTTGAATTTTGATGTTGTGCAATTTATTAGTTTTTTTTTCAATCTATGTATTGTATTTAAATATGTTGTCGACTTCAAGGTCATGAAGATCTTTCTCCTACGTATTCTCCTAAAAGTAGTGAGATTTCATCTCTTTTATTTGTTTTTTTATCCTTTTTGAGTTAATTTATATATGATGTATATATGAAAGAAAGGTCTAAATTTATCTTTTTTACATTTGAGTATCCAATTATCCATCACCATTTGTTGAAGACTATTTTTTTTTCTATTGAATTGCCTTGGCACCTTTGTTGAAGACCAATTAACTGTAAATGTAAAGATTAGCTTCTGGATTCACAGTTTTGTTTCTTCGATGCATATTCTTTTGCCAGTCCCATACTACTTTGATTACTGTATAATTATAGTAAGTCTCTAATTGAAAGTTTATGTCCTCAAAATTTTTGTTATTCTTTCAAAATAACTTTTCCTATTTTGCATCCATTGCGTTACAATATAAATTTTAGAAAGATTGTCATTTCTACAAAATAGAAAAAACACCTATTATAATTTTGATAAATTGTACCTTGATACTATAGATTAATTTCAGTGAGGTTTCCATCTTTTTAACATTAACTATGAGCACAGAATGCTTTTCCATTTATCTATGCCTTCCATTTCTCTCTCAAAGTTTTGCGATTTTGCAGTATGCAAGATTTGTACTTCTTTTGTTAATATTAGTCCTATTTTTTGAGGATTTTGTGAGTGGAATTGTTTTCCTAATTTTATAAGTAGTTGGTTTACTGCTATTTTATATGTAAATTTAGTATTTATCTTCTTCTCTATGACCTTGATAAACTCATATCAATTCTAGTGTTATAAAATGTAGATTCCTTAGTATTTTCTATCTAATAGGTCTCATGTACAAATATAGTTTTACTTCTTCCTCTGTACTATATACTCCTTTAATTCATTTATATCATCTTACACTGGCTAGGAGCTCAGCTAAATATGAACAGATATGAGAAGAATGAATGCCCTTGTCTTGTTCCCAGTCTTAAGGAAAGCATTCAATCTTCCATCAGCAAGTATAATAATAGCTGTAGATTTTTCAGCAATGTTCTTTACCAGGTTGAGGAAGATCCTTTCTTTTTATAGATTAAGTTATATAGTTTTTAACCTGAATGAGTATGAGATTTTTGAAGTATTTTCCATGTCTATTGAGATGATTAGGTTTTTGCCTTTTATTTTGTTAATATAATAAAATGCATCAACTCCTTTTATATTAAGCCAACCCTGTATTTGTGAAGACAATATCATCAGGTCTTGCTATATACATTTTTTGATATGCTGGATACTAATATTTTGCTCACAATTCTTGCATCTATACCACGTATAGTCCCAAGTTAGCTGCCGGCACCTCCACCTCCGTGGAGGGGCGGCACCCCCCACCGCTTTCCCGCTTCAGCGGAGGAGTGGCACACCGCCGGCCGGCTCTCTCGGGGGCTGCTCAGATGTTCCCCTTAGATGTTCCCGGTGCATGTTGTCTCTCTCCTCCTTTATAGTCCTCTTCCACCAATCCATGCTCTGCTGCCCACACGCCGAGTACGCTGCTCTCCTCCAATCAGGAGCAGGATCAGCTCCTGCAGCTTATCAAACTGATGAGGCAGCTGCGTAGAGGTTGTTTGCTCCCTCAGTGCCATATTGTGGGAGAGCAGACGCATAGAATAAGTCTGAATTCCAGTAACTTAGTCTAGTCTCAGTTGCTCCCCACAGCTTCATAGTTTTTCACATTGAAATTCTATAATATTTTGTTAGAGTTATACTTAAATATTGATTTTTTTGGAATTGTTATATATGGCATTTTTTAAAAGTCTCAATCATATGTTAATTATTGCTATGTAAGGGGTTACAACTGGTTTTGTATATTAATCTTTTATCCTATCATGCTGAATTAATTTACTAGGTCCAGAAATTTTGGGTAGATTTTTTGAGCTAGTCTCCATCCCAATCATATTATCTGAACATTTCACTTTTATTTTTGTAGGGTAACTTGCTACATAAATATTTGTTTACTATATATTATACCACCGTTTGGGTTTTGTTGTTTTTGGTGTGAAATTAGTTCTTGATTATGTTGGTTTTTAGCCCTATAAGTGATACTACTTTTCTCCTGTGATTTTCAAGGAGTTTTCATGTTTTTGTCTTTCAATAGTATGATTATGGTTTTCCGAGGTATGAATTTCCTTGCGTGTTTCCAATTTTGGCTTCTTACTCTTCTTATGTAGCTATATTAATGTGTTACACCAAATTTGGGAGGTTTTTGGCTATTATTTCTTTAAATGTTTGTGTTTTTTTCTTTTCTCACACTTATTTAATGAGGTTTCTCCTCTCTTCCCCAACATCCCATTCCCACCCCAAGTAATTTCATTAGACAATAATTTATTAGTTTATATATCCATTTTATTAGAGAATTAGGTAACCATCATATTACAAAACTACTACCAGAATATTTTTGCAGAATTAGAATGAGTTTAAGAACCCAGTCACAATTTTACTGGATTAGACTTCAACATGGGGATGACTGTGTTCCTCCAAAGAAGCTTCACTGGGAAAGAGAGTATTCCCCCAACATGTGTAAAGACAACAAATACATGTTATCCTCTCAGTCACTGAAGAAGTTTTCTCCACAGGCCAACACTATTTTTTGTTGTTGTTGCTGCTGCTCTTTTCTCTTCTCCTTTCTATGGTTTCTGCTTTCCAGAAACTTCTTTAGATGCATTTGCTCCTCCTTAAAATCCTGATGCTCCTCTCTGTAGAGGCCATGAAAATGGAGTATCCCCATGAGTGCAAAATACGTATTGCAATTGGAATGCCAGTCATACATCTCACTCCTCTTGGCCAAAGGCTGTTCACTGAACAGTGGACTTGGATCCAGCATGCCTGGCAACTTCACTAAATAGCTGGCACTCACATCAGTCACATGCAAAGTGTATCCTGAAAGTGAAGATGTTTCTTGGGCAGCAAGGAGCAAGAATTCCTGGGCCTGGCCTTCCTCACCCATGTGCCTCTTTCCTGGAAGGCCTGTCCCCACTATTTCTTTAAATGTTTTTCACTGTCTCTTTATCTTCTGGAGATTCATTAAGGTAATATTCATGATTTTCCATTGGTCTGTGAGTCTCTTTTTCTTCATTCTTTTCTGTTTATTTTCCCCCCAAGTTTATTAATTCCTTCCTCTACCATCTCAAATCTGCCGTTCAGTCTACCTCTTGGCAAAGTACATTCTGCACTTAAATTCTTTTTATTTATTTATTTATTTTTTAAACTTATTTGACAGGCAGGGAGACAGAGACAGAGTTCTCATTTGCTCTTTCACTCCTCAGATACTTACAATGGCCAGAGGTGGGATGTGGCTGAAGCTGGCAGCCAGGAACTCAATGAAGTTCCCACATGTATAGTAGGGATTCAATCACTTGACCCATTGCCTGTTGCCTCCCATGGTCTGCATTCACAAGAAGGTAGAATTAACAGCCAAGCCAGGACACTCCAATAAAGGATGTGAGTAACCAAATTATCAAATGCCTGCCTCAGTTATATTTTCAAATCTCAAAAATTTCCAATTGGGTCTTTTAAATAGTATAGGTGTCTATGATAGCTTCTGTTTTCCTACTTTAATTCTTTGAATGTGCTTTCCACTGTTTCTTTTAAAATATTTTGAAGAGTTTATCTGGTAAATCCAAAGTCTGTGCCACCTGAAAGGGAGTTTCTATTGATTGCTCCTTCCTGAATATAGTCACAATCCCCATTTCTCTGCATCAATTACGGTTTTTGCTTTTACTTTTGTTGGAAAATGTATATTTTAGATAATCTAGCCACTTTGCATTTTAATTATCCTAGGTTCTTTGATTGTTAGTTGTTTGTTCAGTGACTTGCATTAATTTTGCAGATAGACTCTACTTCATGGTATGCAGTCACTGATATCACCAACCAGATTTTCTTTTACCTTTTTTTTTTTCTTTCTTTTTTCGGACAGGCAGAGTGGACTGTGAGACAGAGAGAGAAAAGTCATCCTTTTGCCGTTGGTTCACCCTCCAATGGCTGCCGCGGTGGGCGCATTGCACTGATCCGATGGCAGGAGCCAGGTACTTCTCCTGGTCTCCCATGGGGTGCAGGGCCCAAGCACTTGGTCCATCCTGCACTGCACTCCCTGGCCACAGCAGAGAGCTGGCCTACCAACCAGATTTTCAAAAATTCTTGCTTTTATTTTCAATCCTGATTTCATGAGGGAGGAGAAGTTCATCCCTCTGTCAGTATAACCTGGTGGTCAACCATTAATCAGTCAGAGTTTTTCTCAATTATATTGAGTCAGTAAGGATTCTACTCTTTGCCTATGACTCTGTACTTAGATTGAAGAATGCCTTCACAGTTCAGGCAGTTTATAAATGTAACCCATCTTTTATTTCCTGCTCTCTCACGTTTCCTTTGTACACGTACAATGTCTCAAATTTATCCAGGGACATGTGAGTTATTTTTTCCTTCTCCATTATTTCCTGATCAAAGCCTACTATGACATTTTTCTTTATTTCCTTTTTAAAATATTTATTTATTTAAAGTCAGTTGCAGAGAGAGAGGGCGGGGAGAGAGATCTTCTATTCTCTGGTTCACTCCCTGACCAGGTCAAAGCCAGGAGTCAAGAGCTTCTTCCAGATTTCCCATGTGGGTGGCAGGGCCCAAACACTTGGGCCATTCTCCATTGCTTTTCCCTGGCAATGAGCAGGGAACTGGATGAGAAGTGGAGCAGCTGGGACTCAAACTGGCACCCATATAGAATGCCCATGTCACAGCTGGAGGCTTTTCCAGTTATGCCACAACACCAGCCTCCTCCTATGACTTTCTAAATACTTGGAAAGTCTAGTAAAATTTCTGACTACTCTGTTGCTTGCCACAAATCAGCAATTTCAGATAAGCTGTAACGTGGTTTTCCATTTGATTGCCAGCTATGTTAGAGACATGTTGTCTCATGTTCTACTTAAAATCAAGTAGGTTTTCTCTGGCAGCAAAGTTTCTCTTTCTAAGAACTTACCTTCTTCTGGTTGAATGATCATTCTGATGGAGCTAGTGTGTGGGGGACATTGGTAGCATCCCCAGACTAGAATCTCACAAAATTCAATTGTTCTTATCCGAGGTTCAGTAGCTTAAAAAAAACAGGAGTGGATATATTGATATCACATAGCATGGGATTCATGACAAAGATCACAAAATGAAGGGAAAAGGGTATATTATTTTATAAGTAGTATAATTCAGTGAAGACAGTACTTCTTTTGTTGTATGCCTATGCTTGTTGTTTTGATAACTTTTCATTTTTATCATCACTTTTTAGAGATAGAATTTTGTATACTGCCATTTTAGAAGTCTCACCTTCTAGTTCTTTTAAAGAAAATAAAATATGAAAAGACAAGGTCTATATCAATCCACATTTTACTATTTTAGTGTATGGCCTTTCTTTTTGTAGATCAGATTTTATTTCTGGTATGAAATTCTTTCCACCTGAATAACTTTAACAGCTTTCATGGAATATTTAATAATGATGAATTCTCTTTTTTTCTGAAAAATGCCTTTACTTACATATGTTTTATAAGGATATGTTTATTGCTGTTTCTGGATATATAATTCATGTTAAAATCATTGCTGCATTGTCTTAAGGTATTCATTTTGCTGATAGGAAATTAGGAAATATTATTGTCTATTTTCTACCATATATATATATATATATATATGTTGTTATTTGCTCCATCTGATTTTAGTACTTTTATGTGTCCTTGATTTTTAAGAGTTTGAATATGATATGTCTTTATGTGGTTTTCTGTGCCTTGTCCTTAGGACTTGTTGATCTTTAAACTTATGAATTTGTTTTTTCATGTTTGGACAATTTTAGTAGTAATTGGTCTGAAATATTTTTTAATTTTTGAATTATTCCAACTTCCTATAGGAATCTAATTATATGTATTTTAGATTGTTTGATGGTGTCCCATTTGCCACTCAATCTCCTTTTTTCTCCATTCTTTTTCTCTCTCTGGTTATATTTACATAGTCTTTATTTTTTGATGTATAGCAGTTTATTTATTTTCATAGATATAACTTCAGGAATGCAGTGATTCTTCCCACTGTATCTACCCTCCCACCCACACTCCCACCCCTCTTCCTTCTCCCTTTGGTATTCCCGTAATTTTTTACAAGGTCTATTTTCTATTAACTTTATATATATATATATGATTAACTCTATACAAAGTACAGAGTTCCAAAAATTGTATGAAAAAAAAAAAAACTGTTTATCAACAGTCAAGACAAGGGCTGTTCAAAGTCATTGCATCTGGTAGTGTTACTTTCACTTCTATAGGTTACATTTTAGGTTCTCTATTAGTTATGACAGATCAAGGAGAACATATGGTATTTGTCTTTTAGGGACTGGCTTATTTCACTAAGTATGATATGTTACTGTATCATTCATTTTGTTGCAAATGACAGGATTTCATTATTTTTTAGTGCTATGTAGTATTCAGGTGTGCATATCCTATAATCTCTTTATCTAGTCTTCAGTTGATAGATATTTGGGTTGAATCTATTGTGAAATGAGCTGCAACAACCATGGGATACAGATAAATTTTTCATATGCTGATTTCATTTCCCATGGATAAATTCCCAAGAATGGGATTGCTGGGTCATATGGTAGGTCTATATTCAGAATTCTGAGATAACTCCATACTGTCCTCCATAGCGGTTGTACCAATTTACATTCCCACCAACAGTGGATTAGGGTAACTTTTTTCCCCTACATCTTCACCAGCATTTGTTGTTTGTTGATTTCTGTATGAAAGCCATTCTAACGGTGGTGAGGTGAAACCTCATTGTGGTTTTCATTTGCATTTTCCTGATGGCTGCTGATCCTGAGCATTTTTCATGTGTCTGTTAGGCATATGGATTTCCTCTGTTGAAAAATGTCTGTGTAAGTACTTACCTGCGTTGTTTGTTTTGTTGTTGTTGAGTTCCTTCTTCACTTTATGAATTGTGGTTATTAATCCATTAACAGCTGCATAGTTTGCAAATACTTTCTCCCATTCTGTCGATTCCCTCATCACTTTGCTGAGTGTTTCTTTTGCAATGCAGTAGCTTCTCAACTTGATGAAATCCCATTTCTCAATTTTGGCTTTGATTGTCTATGCCCCTGGGGTTTTTTCTAAGAACACTTTATTTATGTCTTCGAGGGTTTCCCAGATGTTCTCTAGTAATTTGATGGTATTGGTTGGTAGATTTATGTCTTTAATCCATTTTGAGTAGATTTTTGTGTGTAGTGTTAGGTAGGGGTCTTGCTTCATGCTTCTGCATGTGGAGATTGAGTTTTCCCAGCACCATTTGTTGGAGAGAGTGTCCTTGCAGGTAGTGATTTTAGCTCCTTTGTGAAAGATTAGTTGGGGTAAATGCATGGATTGATTTCTAGAGTTTCTGTTTTGTTCCATTAGTCTACATGTCTATTTTTATTTTGCCATTACCAGGATGTTTTGATGATAACTGCCCTCTAGTATGTCTTGATATCTGGTATTGTGATGCGTCTAGCTTTGTTTTTGTTGTATAACATTGCTTCAGCTATTCAGGTTCCTTTTGTTTTCATATGAATTTCAACATCACGCTTCCTATATCTGAGAAGAATGTCCCTAGTATTTTGATTGCTATCACAATGAATCTGTAAAATTGCTTTCAGAAGTATGATCATTTTGATGATATTGATTCTTTCAATCCATGAACATGGAAGATTTTTCCATTTTTTCTGTCTTGTATTTCTTCAATGTTTTGTAATTTTCATCATAGAGGTCTTTGACACCCTTAATTAAATTTATTCTGAGGTATTTGATTTATTTGATAGCTATTGTGAATGGGATTTATTTTAGAAGTTAGAATCATGCCATCTGCAAATAGAGATAATTTGACTTCCTCTTTCCCAATCCCTATCTTTGATTTCTTTTTCTTGTCCAATGGCTCTGGCTAACCTTCTAGGACTGTATTGAAATG